GACTAAATGCCTTAATGACAGTTTTGATGTCCCTATGGGTACATATGATTCAGCCCAGGTTGCTGATTTAGTATGTTTTTATATTTTAGATAAACTTCGTAGAAATGTAGACCCCAAACAGATAGACCTATGCAGAGATTATGAACTCATTTTCATCTCCAATAGTAATAGTCTACTAACAGCGAAGATACGAAAGAAAATCATTCGGACATTTAAATTAGTAGGGTTTAAGATTGAGATTTCTTCTAACCTTAAAATTGTTGATTACCTAGACATTACCCTTAACCTCAATAATAAAACGTTTAAACCATACCATAAAGACAATGAAACTCCCAACTATATTAATGTTAATTCTACCCACCCCGATTCCATTGCGAAACAGTTACCCTCGACTGTCGGCACTAGGATTAGTCGATTATTATCCAATCTAAACATCTTTAATAAAAAATAAAGAATTACATGAAAATGCTCCCATTAAAAGTGGTTTTAAAAATAAATTATCTTATCTAACCCCTATAACTGACACAGAAATATCTAAAGTGAAATGTAAACACAGAAAAAGAAAAACTATATGCTTCAACCCACACCCCTTCTGCAAACTGTGAAATATTAACATCGGACAGTATTTTCTAAAGTTAATAAATAAACGCTTTCATAAAAACAATCTTCTAAGTAAGATCTTCAATAGGAAAACGATTAAAATTAGCGACTCCTGTACCAATAACATGTACAAAATTATCAAGTCACATAATAACCATATTTTAAGAAATTTCTATGGGATAAACAAGAACCTGGTATTGAACACTCTTGTACTTGTAGATCTAAAGAAAATTGTCTAGTAGAGGGAAAAGCAGATCTACGAGGCTTATATATCAAGCATCCATTTCATCCAAAGAAAAACATAACTTTATCTATGTATTTTAATGTTTTTAAACACCTTTTTATTCCTATCTTAGCTTCAAATTAAAATTTTATTCTTCATATAACCCTAATTTAATGTCATAAGGTTAATATCCGGGTTTAATTTTATAAAACCTCTTCCCTTTAAGACTAATAGCTTCCAACCTCCCCGGACTAATGGATGGTGCCTTTCGTCTGACTGAAACACTGAAATGGATAAATTCTCTATTAGATTTTGGACGGTTATTTTTTGTAGTTTTCACAGTTCCTCGCTCTAAACCTATTACATAATACATCGCATATAAACACATGTTTTTTTTTTATAAAATTTCTTTCTCTCACTGCATTAGGAATTTACGATTTGCGTCTGCTATTCCGCGACCATTATCGTTGCATAGCAAACTTCTATGTAAACATAACAGGATGTCATCTTTGATCGTGAATATCTCCGTTGGAATGTTTATATAACCACTCTGATGATGGCCCATGTGAGCCGAAACATTAAATCGAGGAACAGCATAATAAAAAAATATCCAAATTTTGGACTTTTTTGTCTTTTTTTTTCTCCCGATACTGAAGCCACTATACGAAGCTTAGAACGGCTCATGATCAAACATAATAGATATTCGTTGTCTGTTATATTTAACAATATATGTTTGAATATATGAGATGAAAGTGTTATTAATTATGATATATGAACTTATATGTGTAAAAGTTATGGACTTATATGTGTAAAAGTTTCTTTATGTATGCGCATTAATCTTTTATTTAGCTATAAAGTGTGACCTACTCGTTCATTCCTATAAATTAAGTATGCCTGTTCAGAAATCGAATTTCATGCCGACAATAGGCACTTCGGATTAAGATGTAGGAGAAACAGTCATCAGTTGATTTCTCTCTTCTTTCTTCTATCGCCCTTGGATGGTTACTGCTTTTGGTAACCTTTCTCAATTTGCGATTCTCAATTCAGTCTGATGTAGATCACAGTCAGCCGGACGAAAGTGTGATATTATCAGATCTACTACATATGCCTATAAATGTTCACTTCAACAAGAGAGACGTTTTTATTTGCCACCTGAAATTCTGAGAGGAATTGTCTTTACGCATTCGCTGGGGAAAGATACGAGGTAAGGGGCTACGATTGTATCTCCAACAATCTGCTGTAAACTGCCATTGGCAATGAATTATAATGAAGTTTTACTTATGACGGCGCCAATCGATTCACATTGTTATTCGGCCGGTGATGTCTGTCCAAAGAGACTGGAAGAAGATTAATTATACTGAAGTTCATGAAATCAGGCAAAGTGGTGACTTATTTTGGCTCCGGTAAATGAGCTACATATTAATTTTTGCCTCTGAAGTATATTTAAAACCATGTTATTGGGTATAAAACATTGGCATTCCAATAAAATACATTGCATGGAGAATAATGAATGAGGTATTGAAGCCTTCATTTCCTTTGCTCTGTATCCAAAAGCTGATGGCCTCCCGTGTCCTGACACACAAATTTTAATTAAAGAACTAAATTAAATAAAATTAATTAATCTCTAACGTTTAATCACTCTATCGCCAAAACGAGTGTTGTTGGAAGATGATTGGAAATCGAATACAGATGTAAAAAATAAACATAATAAATAAAAGCAAAAATAATCTAACGCAAAAGATATCTTCAATAAGATTTTTAAAAAATAAATAAATAAATAAATAAATAAAATAAAAAAATAGTTTACAACAATGTCAGTGATGGAATCAGATGTAATTCATCAAACGTTAGTTGGCGGCTAATTCCTTGTTCTTCGTTATTTCGCAACCCTCACACGCACCATTCGTAAATTTCATTAATCAATTTGGAAATATTTCTGTTTTATTTTACTCATTATCCCTCTCTTTTTTTTTCCATTTTGTCCTCAAAGAGAAAGTTTTATTTTCATTCACAACTGTCGAAAGTTGTGTTGGCGGCAGTAAGCCCGTCGATTACAAATGAGATGCATTGGAGGAAAGACATCGCACGGTAAGAAATGAACTTGATGAAAGGAAGATAACAGAAGGGTAAATAGATTAAAGACAATAAAGTGTTCAGACTCGATGGCATTGTAGTCGTAGAGCTTCCTTAAATTGTCGCGCCTAAAGATTTCCTTTGATTCTTTTTTTATTCTTACACAATAAAGTCACGCCCTCTGGGACTGGCAGATACAAGCAATTCTGTCTCCTCGGTTGTTTGCTTCCTGGTCACAAAATGAACCGATTGTTTCAAAAAACAAATATATAACTAGAATAAAGAAATTTCCAAATAAAGAATTCTAGGAATATCGGTAAAGATCGAGTCAGATCAGTTAAGGGACTATTCAGATCAATTTTGCAATTCAGCTAAGGTGTGGCTAAAGACATATATGGGGTAACGATATATAAATTTTTATAAATCAAGAATAATGTTGGAGGAAAGATGTATGATAAAATGGAAAAAACATTTCCTGTGACGCGTTCTAAATTTTAAATGACAAAACGCGTCACACGAAAAACATTTTCCAGCTTGTCTATATTATATATATATATATATATATATATATATATATATATATATATATATATATATATATGTATATGTATATATATATATATATATATATATATACAGTAGCGGTCATAATATAAGGAACGGAAACAACAAAGACATAAATATGTGTATTACTTAAAAAGTAATGCATGATTAGCAATGAAATTTTTACCCAATAAAGATTAGGGTGTAATGCATAAATATTATACAAAGTTACAAAAATTTATATAATAGTTTGTTTTTTAAAATAAAGATTAAATGGATCAAAGGAAATAAGCTACTGGACAAAAGTTAAGGAGCGATGTTAATAATTTGCATAAACATGAAAAACTCGATGGAGATTTTCAATAATAATTAAAGTTCATTTATTATTAGGACTTTATTTTTAAGCAATATGGCAAATTCTACACGCAAAACGCTCTCTTTTGAAGAAAAAAAAACTCATTATTTCTTGTGATACATTTCATCCTTTAGGACTTCATCGGATTAAATTTTCGCACCTTTTCACACACACTTATATATGTGTGCGCACACACACATATATATATATATATATATATATATATATATATATATATATATATATATATATATATATATATATATACGTTAAAGAGAAAAGAGAAACCGTAAACGTTTTTAGTTACAAAGTGGATTTATTACCACATATTATGTGCTACGTTTTTTATGTTTATTCATTGTCTTTTTTTCATGTGTGGTAGTAATCCAAAATCTTCTTGGACTGGTTGAAAAATCTTCCTTGCTTAAGGGGTAATAGAACAATTAAGATTGCTCAGAGAAAGGTGAGATAAATGATATATATATATATATATATATATATATATATATATATATATATATATATATATATATATATATATATATATAGATATATATATATATATATATATATATATATAGATAGATAGAGATAGATAGATAGATAGATATAGATAGATATAGATATATATATGTAAGAGGTTTTGTACTAGACACCATTCCTCAGGTGCACTAACAAACACACGCGAAAAATACTATCGAATGAAGAAAAGTAATATTGTTTAAATTACGTTGAACATTTTCAGCGTGCGGTAAAGTTCATTTTATGCTGGACCCAAAGATAAAAGCTGTCCTTCAAGCACCTTGTCCTGAAATTAGTTGAACGTGTTATTTCATAGACTACTTTAGTTAGGTGACGTTGCCTGGAATCGACGTGCTTCTGGATGAGTCGTATTATAAAGATGATTATTTGAGAAATAAATAATTAGGGAGAGGCATTCTATAAAGTGGTTTAAATATTTAATATAGAGTAAAAAGTCACATAGATAGATAGATAGAAATAAAATGATTGAGAAGTACAAATAAACTATTAGAACTTCTATGTGTGAAATACGGACAAGAGTAGAACAAGAAATAGAAAAGTGAATGAGACAGACAGATGGAATCATTGAGGAATTTATGCGTGATATACACAGAGAATTAGAGTAGATGATGATGATGATGATGATGATGATGATGATGATGATGATGATAGCAGTATAGTGGA